CTAGTAGCGTCTTGTTACTAGTACTAAGGCCAGGAGCCCCTAGTAGCTCCTAGTAGCGTCTTGTTACTAGTTGTAAGGCCAGGAGCCCCTAGTAGCTAGCGTCCTTGTTACTAGTAGCGATGTTTTTTGCTCCTAGTAGCGTCTTGTTACTAGTAGTAAGGCCTGGAGCTCCTAGTAGCGTCCTTGCTCCTACTACCGATGCCCTTTGCTCCTAGTAGCGTCCTCTCCTGCCCCCTTGCTTGGATGGTTTGTGGATTTTTTGTTTGCGGAGAAATTGGTAAAAGTAGTGATTGGTGGAGATCTTGGACCTACCTGGGAAAAGTGGCCATGGTCAGCATAAATTTGCCATTTGGATATTTAACTGTTCCAACCCGGACATGTTCATGGAACAGTGACACATTACTCCGCCTTCAGTGTTCCAGTGATTTGCGGCATGTTTTGGCAGATTTTTGTTTGGCAAAAAATTGCAATTTGACAGCACTATTGTTTGAAGGCAACTAGTTTACTATAGAGATCTATAGAGTATACACATTTCAGCAACAGAATACTTGAATTGAACCGAATACTTTGAAGTTGCAACGTGTTAGACGACCTTTTTTGCACACTTGATTTCCAGGGATTCTCCAGGTGTAGGGGTCTCGGCGGGTGAATACTAGGCCGGTGGGTGCATCAACATATTGAAATGTTTGGTTTTGCATAAGGTCATTTTTTGCCTTCCCTATGGGTTAATCCCCTTCTGGAGAATATTACATTTTTGTCCAGGTTCCTAAAGCAAATCCAAGAATGGGTGTGTATTGAAATGGTGATATCTATTGAAATGAAAAACAAAGGGAAGAACAAGACTCAACTCCGTTGGTTTGGTTTACTCTCCCTACTCTAAGACAGAAACAGCACCTTTAAAACATGTATTCCTTTAACCCAACGGTCGTCTTGGGTTTTAACGTAGACTGAGATAGTAACATAGAGACTCGACAAAGGATCCCACATTTCCGAGGTGGATGATCTTCCTGCGAATATTGGAGGTACCATCCATTGGTTTTGGCACGTGCCACAGGAGCTGGCACGTCTCAATCCAATTCTGCGCTTCCCCAACTCTGCTACTTCATGCCACTTCTATGGTTTTAGCTGTAGTCTCCAAGAGGTTCTCCCGCCAGAGTTGCAGCTTTGACCCACCAAATCAACCTGGGCGAAGAACGGACCACTGAGCACATTCGCTGCTGACTCCACGGTCCGGTGAGCCGCTTGGAACACACGGTCCGGTCCTGGGAATCGGCTGTTTTCTTGGTCAAACGGAGGGCGTGCTGAGCCGAACGGTTCCGCGAAGGTGGGATGACCACGTGATGACGGATTGGCTGCATACGGACACATGCAGCGAAGCAGCCAATCATGGTGTCTTTTTTCCCCTGGCTCGTCCAATGGTCCAATGGCTGATGTGCCATGTGCCAAAAAAAACATGTGGAATACAACTGTTACTAGTAGCTTCTTGTTACTAGTATGGCCAGGAGCCCCTAGTACTTGCTCCATTCGTAGGGATGCCCTTTGTTACGTTCGTAGCGTCCTACCTGTGTTCACCACCGGAACAGCCCAGTTTTCCAGGCGGGTGGTTTTGGTGGTTTTTGCTGGTGCTGCCAGGCATGCCTTCAAGCCGCCAGAGCAGGGCGGCACGTCCTTCGGCTAGAGGGATAGTCCGCATGGGACCAAGGGCAACAAAAGGTGTGGTTTGTGTATATTCCCACCTCAAAGCATTTCAAACAGTTGTAAACTGAATATGTTAAACAATTTAAATGCATAAGGTCTCAGATCCTCGGGAAGGAGTTCCAGAGCCAACAAATAGGTCAGTTTCGTTACTTCATGTGCTTCCCTCAGGCTTCCAATGCTAGGCCCTCCAACCACTGAGATGCTTCATGTTTTGAAGGGCGTGGGCGTTTGCAGGAAAAGGTTGAACCCATGAACATCATGTAAGGAACCATTGACTCTGCAAACTGTTTGAGTGAAAATAGCAAAATCCTTGGCTGTAGCTGGTCTTTTTTGTCTTCAACAAAACAATGTGTGCTTCAAAATGCTTGTCAACCAGACTTTGGGTGGTTTCATCCGAAGAACGTTCCGTCACACGGTACGTTTTTCACCATCGTGACGGACGGCGTGACGGACGCCCGGCCCATCTGGGTTCCATTCGGTCCAGAACATGCCCAAAAAATCTTGGGGTCCGGGCCACGGCCAGACGCAAAAAGAACCAAAGAACACCCACCAAAACTGCAGTCCTTTACCCTGTTTTCAGGGCCCACACCAGTGCGTCATCTGTGATCTCCACTGAGAGCGTCGCTCTCCGATTCACTCCACCACCGAGTCGATGCATAACCAGCCGGTCACGTTGGCCCAGGGTGTCTCAGAGTCGAGCAGAACGTTGGCAGACGCTGGGCGGCGTCCCGCGGCGAGGGTGTTTTGGAGATCCTCCAGGTGGGTGGTCGAAAGAAGAGAAAGAGATCCTCATGAAGGAGGCGAACAAATGGATGTTGGAATAGGTGTTTTTGAAGATGTGTTCTTTGAGAACTCATTGATGAATATTTGTTCCATAGCAGTTGATGTTTACATGTTCATAATCAGGATTCCAGTCCCTTCTGGCTGAGTGAGGTGTTGTGAAGCATGGCAGTGCAGGAATTGCATAGATCTTTCAGTGTCTCAGGCTTCGTAGGCATATATATTTCATTGCAACGCCGCAAGAGAGAGAGAGAGAGAGAGACACATCATGCCGGGTAGCTCTTCAGACCTTGAGGACCACAGATCCAAACCGGCTTTGAGCACAGATCATGATCTGCATCTGTGTTCTACTCATGTGACTTGGACCACAGGATACTGAGCATGTTTCAGCCAACATAGACTTGGACAGGTGATGTCAGGCGTTTCGCAGCTGCTCTCGTCTCGACTATGTCGCAGTGGCTTCGCTCGCTGGGCACTGTCCTCCCTGTCCCCAATCTCGGGGCTCAGTCCTGGTGTGTGGGAAGACCTGCTTCTAGAGGTGACTGGCAATCTGCAAAATCTCAGATTGGAACCTCAATCTATATAATACATACCTATAATGCACCCTTAGGAGGCTGGAGCGCATGCCGCAACCAGGCGCTCAATAGTACAACTCCGGCCTGGGCCTAGCGTGTGTGAGAAAAAGGTGTGAAGATAGCTGTGCGAGCTCTCCTTCCTTGCACTCCGGTGCTTGTTGGTGTATACATACCTAGAACCTGAGCGACCTCTATTCGGATCACCAACCACCCCAAATATGGTCAAACGTCCTATCAAAACAGCGGTCATGTTTGGTATAACCAGGTCAACAGATTGCAGTTGAAGAAACTCATGAAATCACTGTAAACTTTGGATTCTGTGGCTTTCCATGTCCACATGCTAGCAACAAGAAGCTACTAGTTGGAGGCCATCGCTATTAGGTTGGAGGCCATTACTACTATAGCAACAAGAAGCTAGTAGGTTGGAGGAATCCACATCGCATGCCCAGGAAAGCCACTGGAGCCCGGACACCGTCACCCAAGAAGAGTCCCAAGAGAGCTGTCTCTCCTGCGTCGGCGCGCAGTCGGGACGCTCAGTTATTTTTTTGATGATACGCACCCGGTTTTGCTTATGATTTTCTATCTTCAATTCCCTTCTGCGATAGTTGTTGATTGTTTTGCGGTCTCTTAATTTGTTGGGGATTAAATGCCTGTGGAGCTCGATCAACTTGGACCTTTTTGGGGAATTAGGGACACCCACTCAACAAGAATTAGGTGGAGTTTGTAGGTGGAAAGAGTTCGTTCGGTTCACCTGAACAGCCATTGCTTGCAGGGATCTGAGGCAAGCGACGGAGACAGAGTTGTTGGCAGCCGGACACCGAGGGTTGAGGAGAACACCGACTGATGGCCCAGACGAGCGTCTGTGCAATCTGCACCACAAGCTCCAATGAATCAGACTATGGCAAGAACATGCAAGAACCTTCTGGAAGAAGACCACCACTGATGGTCCATGGAAACCAGACAGTGGTGGTGTCGACCATCACTTGTGTTCTTCCATGGCAAGAACCTTCTGGAAGACCAGAAGCGTCCATAGGTGGTGTTGACGTTCCTTTTGTTGCCGTTCCTCAGTTGATGCTGTGGGCACAGGTGAGGTCGGGTGGGGTGGGACCTTGGCCACCGCTAGCACGGTGGAGGTGTGAGACCGGAAGTTCAGAGAAGACCTGGCCTACCTGGTGAGAGAGTTCAAACATGGCAGAACTGGCAGTGAAATGCGGTTTGCGCCATGCTCACTGTTGCCTCCCTAGTTTCCACATCCATAGCCTCGTTTCCGAATCTGCCCTTGACCGGACGATCACGGAAGAGATGCAAGCTGAGTTTTTGAAGATGAAAAGACGAAAAACATCCATACCAGGGTCATCCAATGGGTGTCCAATAGACTAACCTTACTTACAGGCCTTCATCGGGCACCCATTGGAAGTGCTAGGTAGGAACTCATTGATTGTTTGCCGCGATTGTTCAGATCATTGATGGGTTCTGCGCAGGGTCCCTTTGCGATACAGTTGAACCGGCATTCATCAGCCTGGCTGCAGATGAAAACAGGCATGGTAGCCTCGTCAAAGGCCCGCCAAATGCGAGCGACCGAAGGGGATAAAATCCAGCAGTTGCTTCTGCCGCCATGACCAAACAGGTACTTTCTCAAGTAGGAAGAGTGGCAAGTGTACAGCCCAATGAACAGTGAATCTGCGTGTTTTCTGCGTTATTTACCTGGTTCTTCCAAGTGACCGAACTTGATCCTCTGCTTGCTTTGCGGTCACTGCTCGGGACGGAAGAAGCTGGGCGCACGTTGGGCGCAACATGGCATCCGTTCGTTCGCCGAAAGCCATGGGTTCATGGACCATGACACAAAAAAAAAAACCATCTACACACCCTCTAACATTTAAGAGATGTTGAAACACTTGAAACTATGTGTGTATAATATAGGACAGGTTCATCACAGCTTTAGCGCAGGCCTTTGCCCATTTTCTGTTCGGCAGACTGAGGTGCCAAAGCTCCCTCACCGAAGAGGAGTCCAAGTCCACCGAAGGTGCCTGGGAATCAGTAGCTTCTTGTTCCTAGTAGTAATGCCAGGAGCTACAGCCGTAGCTTCTTGCTACGTCCGTAGCGATGCACCTTGCTACTAGTAGCTTCTTATTACTATAATAGTAATGCCCTGGGAATCTATTTCGATGAGATGGCCGACCTAGACAAATGGATTTGGTTTGATTCCGAAGTGAGTGTTTCTTGACCTGGAGGATTGAACAGGTTTTGGTGGATTTGGGGGGATTTTGAGTTCTCGGGGCGAGAGTTCCAAGAGTTGCAAGATTGGCGTGCTTGTTGGTGGCTGACCACGATGACTGGTTGCAACGCAATTTGTAAGTTGAATGATTCAGATGCCTTGGTCCAGCTCTGGTGTCAAAGTTCTGTGTGTTTTCCCACTGGGTGAATCTTTGTTTGCATATGAATGCATATATTTACAATCTGATACCGTCTTTTCCCGGCTGCACCATCCATTTCATGTTCTCCGCCACGTGGCGCTTCTTCACGTGCATTCGTTCTTGCCGCGCCACACTGCACGGCACGTTCCGGCCGTCACTCGGTGAACGCACGTTCCGGCCGCCCCGCCTTCATCCCGCGTTAGAACCGAACGCCGTGCGAGTTCGGAACGGCAGGTACCCCCCGGCAAGGCCATCCAGTTGCTTCAGAAGCCGCTGGCCAAGGATGACCTGGACTTGAAAAAGGCCACCCGGCCGAGGGAGGTTTCGGTTTCGCCGCGACCGCGACCCACCACCAAGACAACCGGCGAGGACGACGAAAGAGCCGCGCAAGGCGGCGAAAGCGCTGAAAAGACCCCGTGGCTTGAGCGTCTTTTACTTCTGATTTTGGTTGGAAATGGATGGATTGGGGATGGGTCGTTCAAGTTGCAACAAAGCTTGACTGTACACTGCCGGTAGGTCAAGGGGCTGGTATCCTGCTGCCTAGTTCCCCACAGCCGGATCATGTCGAACCTCTTGAAACAGCTCGTAGCAACCGATTCGATGTTGTTTGAATTGTGTTTTTTGGTTGGCTGGACGACTGCTCGTGGAGGGGGACCGATGTTGCCGGATGTCCAATGAATAAACCCCTCCACGAGCGTTCCGCAGTCATGATGGATTGTAATCACTGAGAATCCTTGGGGCGGCAGGGGCCGGGCCCTCCATAGCAGGAATCCGGACCAAAACCCTATGTGTTTGAGGGTCCGGATTCTTAGGGTGATGTTATTCAATGTCAAGTCCCACACACTGGCAAACAACGCCAGCGGCAAAGACTTGTACAAACTCTGGACCATTGCATAGCAATTGCTGAAAGTGACCAGAAAACCATCCTTATAGGTACCACAAGAATAATTAGCACTGCAGGGACTGCAGCTGTTCATTGTGTCTCAGAGACTCAAAGGTTCTCCAGGACTGTGGAAAGTAGTGAAAGACCATGAAAGCCATTGAAAAGCCCTCAGTTCAGTAGAAACCCACCAGGGTCATCCAATGGGTGTGCAATAGACTACCCCCTACCTTACTTACAGGCCTCCATCGGGCACCCATTGGAAGTGCTAGGCAAGCAACCATTTCTGGCTGTTAAACACCCGAGTCTCAGGCACATTTTTGCGGCCGCCAGGTCTACCCACCCGAGGATCATGAGGACGCGGGTTCACTGACCGGGTCACCGGCTTTTCTGAAAAGGTGGATCGGAGCTCGAAAGTGGAGTTGATCTAGTGACTGTAACCAGGAGTTCATGCGAAAGTGGAGCTTATGCGTGTCCCAGGACCTGTAAACCGTCAATAAAAGAGCAAATCACTCGTTTTGAGATGGATGTCGGCCTGCAACTGAAGTATCATCCACTGGGGAGTTTTCGATACACCCAAAGACCCAAAGTTTCAAAAAGAAAACGATGAGCTTTGGCTTTGACTGGGACCGTGGGCCCTCGGCCATACAGGGCGATACACCGACAGGTTCACAGAGCACGTACGGGAGCGTTTGGTGCTTCGCAAGCCTGCACTACATCCGTCAAGGCTAAACAATTGGCAAAGGACCGGACGGCCAAGCCGTATTTTGTTTATGAATCCTTCTCCCACTCCTTTTTGCTCATCAAAGAGACTGGCCGTCCGACGATGACTTCCCGTTGGCCAGCCCTTCAGGAACTGCGAGAGTGATGTTCATAGTTTTTCGAAGAACTGGTTGTGCAAACAGGTCCGCAAATGGGGTCCGCAACTGGCCGTGGCTTCTTGCTTCTTGATTCTTGAAATTGACATCCGTAGCAGCAGCAGCAGCAGCAGGATGATTAGTGGTTGTGGTTGTTGTTGCTGTTCTTGTTGTGAGTGGTTGTTGTTGCTGTTGTTTTTTCTGTTGTTGTTGGCAACCACTGAATCATGTTGTTCACCCACGACACCTTCCTCGTTGCTTCATGGGGGGCACAGGAGAAATGGTTCACCTGGGAGCCGCTCAACCCTTTGCCAGGGAGGCGAGGCGGTCCATGGGATGGAACGAATGGTGGCCAGTCGTGCTGCCGAAGCAGATCCGGAACAACACCATCTTACCTAGAACCTGAGTGACAACTATTTTGGATCAAAACAGGCAATCTGATGTTTTTCTCATCAAAACAGGGGTCATGTTTGGACTCTATGTAGTGATATTGGGAGGGTCCCCACTACGTACATGGAAGCGTAGCGTAGGGATCGGTATATCAAAAAGACACGGTGTGCGCGGCAAAAAGCCGCGCTTCTTTCCGATGAAGAGTGCTTGGAATTCAACAGCATGAGGAGTGTTTAGGCCTCGTTGGTGCACATCCCCAAACAATTTCTGGAGAGAAAACACTGCCGATTCTGTGTTGTTTGGATGGTTTTTTTAGATTTCTCACTGCAGGTTATCAGTGGGATTTGCTCTCACACATACTGTTTACTTATCAGTGAGGTATTTTTGTATGTCGTCCAAGCATGTGTTGTCGTGTTTTTTGACTCTTTTTGCATGCTTTGTGTGTGTGATACTCAAGTCAGATACCTTAGGTTGTTTGGAGACCGCAGACAGCCCAAACATGGCAGATGTGGCCACGCTTGGAAAGATGTGCCGGTCCAAAAATGTCAGTCTAACATGTCTATAGTTCTACATAAGCTAGTTATCAAGGGAGTGTTTCTTGGTGTGTCTTTTCTATCCACCCCTAAGAATCATTGGACCCTCCTATGATGGGTTTTCACCTTGCAATCATAGGGGTTTTGGACCCGAAACCAAACCTTCACCTTCACTGAGTGTCTGGAAATTCTTAGGGAAGAATCTCTTTGGCCCTGCTGGTCTTCACCTGAGGGTCTTTGGCCCTGCTGGTCTTTCGTCTTTGAAGACGAACTGAGGGTCTTTGGTCGTTCCTTCGTCCTTCGTCCTTCACCGAGGCACGGGCCACACGACTTCGGTCCTCCTAGGCCCTGACGCGACTTCGACGCGTCGCGTCGGGTGCGTGTCGTGTCCTAGCACTTCCTGGACATGGGTGCCCTGTCTGGCCTGTTGACGTAAGGTAGGCTAGTCTAGCCAGGAAACCATGTCCAGGATGAGCCTGGGATGACTACTAGTAGCTAGAAGCGCCCTTCCATTTTGAACTGAATCATGCCCAGACATGACTAGTCTGGGACTGCCATGACGGACTGCCTTCAAAACGGCCAGTGGATGGTGGGTTTGGGGGGGGGTCTGGCTTGATGGGCAGTCCTATTCCAGTCCCATGGACCGTCGTGTAAGGGAAATGAATAGGGTGTCGTTGTAATAGCCTTTTAGACGTGACATTGAACATCATCCTGAGAATCCGGACCCTGTTTGGTTTGGGAAGGTCCGGAACTTCCCCCGAAGAGGAAGAAGGCAAGAAGGCCCTGTGGATTCGAGGGCCCGTGTGGATTCTTGGAAAGGTCTCTTTTCTTTGTGATCCTTTTCTATTTAAAAAACTGGTTTGGGTGCCAGTTGTGTTCAAGTGGTTCTTCTCTTTTCCGGACAAATAAGCCAGAAGGTGTTTGGGTGCAAAAACTTCGAAAAACACCAGAGATGTCGAAGGAATCATTGAATCATAGCTGATGTTGTTGGGATGGGCAGGTGGATGAGAATGGATTTTGAGAATGACCATGAACGACCAAAGAGGTGGAGAAACCCCCACCTTCACGTGATCCTCTTGGAGGGTTTGGAGAGCTAGAGCTGGGCCACGCACCAACCACTTGGACGGCCAGGCTGGGCATGTCTCACCCGCCCAAGAACGCCAAGGCGCTTGAATCTGAAAAAAAAAGATTGGAGCCAAGCTGGAGCGGCTACACTCCCTGCAATAGACAGAACATGACATCAATAACCCAGAAGAGGTTAGAAAGATGTGTCAAAACAATCTTAAGACATCTTAAGATGATGCTTGAGTGTTTGTGTGGCTGGGGCGGCTTCATAGTTGTTTTGCAGTCGACTTGCTTGGTGTCCGGGACAACATGGCAGGCCACAGTGGATGACAAGTGTCCAATGTTGTTTGCAAGTAACGTCAAAAAAGGCCAAGGATCACACCACTCCACTCTCTGTCGTACAGAAATCATCAACAATCCATGCTGTGGGACTTGAAGACTGAAGGGGAGCTGATGTTTCCTTATTTGGTCATGGTTTTCAGCCGAGCGGCTCGCGTCGAGTGGGTCAGTGGGTCAAGTATGAGACCGAGACGGTCAAATCGAGAAGCAGCGCGCCTGGCGGCCTGGCAGGTGCGGAAGGAGTTGCTGGCATATCTCTACGCACGTAAGGCAGAGCTGGCGCCGCCCCTCTCGTGGTTGGGAGAAGCTCAGCTGGTGCTCTTGAGATCTCGCTTCCTTTGTTGGTCGGTTGACAGAATCGATCTACAGGATGAACTTCGATCCATGAAGTTGGATCTACATCCACCTTGTTCTTGATTGCACTTGTTTGGCAAGTGTTGAAACCTGTGTTGAAACCTGTGACAGAGTACTCGTAGTAGAAGGTTGAGCCTACTACTGTGTTACTGCTGCTGCTGTTGCTGTTTCATGAAGGCGCTATGTGCAGGAACCCAAAAGCAACTTGAATGATCGTGTTGGTGACATACCCGCCACAATGTCCGATCACTTCCCCGAGTTAGCACACATGTTCAGAGATACAGTCTCATACTCATCCAGAAAAGAAAGGTAGACTCTTGATTAAGGGTTCGAACCCCACGTCACCCCGCAACCCCACCCTAGTCACTCGTCAAATCCACGATCCTCCAGGTCGTCACTCGTCTGAAACCGAACATCGGAGCTGAGCTGCAGCCGCTCCGGTCGAGACGCAGCCGTCGGTCCTCGGCAGGTCCGACCACCCAAGAGGATCAAGCGGGAGAAGAGGCAACGTCCGACGCATCGCGGTCGTGGTCGACCGGGGAACCGGCCCCGGGTCGATCTTCCGACAGGGGTCTTCGGACCGGGGACGTCCCGGAGGAGTTTGATGACTGGCATGTGTGGGAGAAGGGTCGATAGGGTTTCAAGAGACCTTTGGCTACGCATGAAGCGCCATTGGGATACCAAAGAGATGGGATACGCATGAAGCGCCATTGGTTGCGTTTGGCTGCGTGGTCGACCAGGTGTGAAAGACAAGTCTGGGGAGGTCTTCGGGATTCTAGCTACTCTTGAGAATATCCTCCAGATTTTTTAGACAGAAACTGCGTGGTGGTGTCCACCGTTTTTTTAAGTTCCAGGCCCATCGCTTGGGCAAAAGAAACGCTAGCGGTGGGTTTCAGAGATTGAACCTCTACTTGGGATGACTGACGCCACTTACTCAATCTTACTCATATTTGTTGTTCGACCGGACAAGATTGTGGCTTGCTTTCAGCGCTGAAGACGCGCATGGACCCTCCGTTCAGTGGCCGGACCCGCATATTCGTCTCAAAACCGGTTAGGCTTGGAATGGAGCCCCTTGGGCGCGAACCTTTTGTCTTCTCAACTCGACCGGTTTAGGGTTTAGGGTCTACCACTCCCCCCTATGGATCCACGTACCCTTTGAGGTGAAGATACTCTTAATTACCTTTTCATTGCTAGTAGGTTGGAGGCCATCGTGCAAAATACAGCAAGAGCTGCAAGAGCTCTTTGTGTTCTCCAGAACGACAGTGGACCCACCCACACGAGACCCACACATAGGCATAGTTGATGGGCGGATGCTTTGGTTTGATCATCCTACCAGTCAAGTTGCACCGACGCTCGCCGGGTTTCTTCGGCGGCCGCAAAAAACAGGGAAGATGAGCCGGAAGCTGATGTGTTCAGGCGATGGGAATTCTTTCTGCGCGTTTTGGAGGGGCACCAGCAGTTGGTATTCAGAAAATGCTCCTCCAGCCACGCCATCCACTTCCAGGATTGTTCTAGGGAGTTTAAAGATTGCATTTGTTGTGTTTGGAATGTTTGGAAGCCTGGAAAGTAGACCGACACTTGGACGTGCCGCTTCACGGTGATGGTGTCCCAGATAGTCGTAGAAAGAGACTGAGTCGAGCGATTGCCAGAATCTCTCAGCCTGACACTTGACACTCTTCTCTTGTGCCTGCTTCGGTTCTCAAAACATAGCAACTACCTGAGTTTCAGGCACCAAACCTGGCGATGGCGTATGGACACGAAATCAGCAAGCGCAGCCAGGTTATGGTACCCTCAGAGAGACCAGATGTTGGTCGTCTAAGATCCGTAGTATAAACAAGTTACTAGTAACTTCTGGTTGCTAGTATAGTGATGGCCTCCAACCTACTAGCGATGGCCTCCGTCCGTGTGTGGCGATGGTGCAAACCACTATTTAATAGAAGGGCTCCTTAGAGATTGCGACCATTCGAAGCCAATGGCTGGATTCTTTTTGGGTTTGATTCTTGCTCCGAGACGTCGAGTTGCGGGGTCCCCAAACCTTTGCAGCATTCTGCACCCCCTTGGGTCGCCTTAGTCTTATATACACATCACCAATTTGGTGAGCCAAGAGTCTTCCAGAGTCGCCGTAGGGAGAGCTTTTCACCTCGCTTTCGGGTCGGAGCTGGACGGGTCCGTCTGTCTGTCTCGGTGTACCGTTCCGGGACACCGATGGTGGAAGCAGACATGGCGGACCCGTGAATCCCCAGGACGTTGGTGGTTGACATTCAGACATGGTGGTAAGTCTGACATTGAGAGGTTGAAGGACCCGAACGTTCGACTCTAGACTATCCCAGGTGACGGCCGGTGACGGGTCCGAACGTTCAGGTCACTGGCTACCTCTCTTGGTTAATGTGGTGATCCCCCACACCACCATTCGATGTGGACAGAGTGTTAAGCAGCTTCAAGAATTCGCGTCCGTCGAAGTGATTCACCTCGAACGTCCGTGCCACGCGCCGCCAGTCCTGTGGAACGAGTGCTGGAGGACCTGCCCGAGACATGGCAGACATGGGTGGAGTGTGGTCAACGGTGACCGTCCAAATGGGTTGGTGTGAGATTTTCACCGCTGGGTAGCTTGGGTAGCCTGGTGTCCTTTGCTAAAAGGATTCTGGCTGTGACTTCCTTCGTCCTTTTTGAACACGCACCCAAAAGGCTCTCGATATAGAGCCTTTGTATGTCCCCCACCAAGTGAACCCAGTGATGTTAAAGCGTACATCTGCGGGCAATTTCTCGCAGGTCGGGGAGGAGATGTGGTCCTTCCGACTCTCCTCCATCGAGTTGGTCTTACATCTCAAGTTGGTCTTCATGATCGGGGGTCTTTGGTGTTGAGTTCCGAGCATGGCCTGGAGAAGCTCCAAAAAGGATCAGCAGTTCAGTCAGCATTCCAACTACTCCATGAGGCTGGAAGGAAAAAGGCCTCGATGGACCCCTGAAACCAACGTAGGATCGGTCGCAGGAAGTGAGCCAGTTCCATGCAGTGTCCGGGTAGGCGTTCGGCGTCCTCATGGTGAGGCGTTTGGACATCTGAATTGGTTTGAGGTCTCCCATATTTCAACCAGCACCACCCAGGGCTAGGGTGGTTGGACTAGACCCCCCTCAAGATGTATTTTCCATCTAATAACCACCCGAAATGGATGGTGCTGGTATAGTCCATTTGTTGGTTCAAGCTGTATTGCACCTATTTCACGTCCAGTGAGGAACACAAGAGATCAAACAACATGCCAACTGATAGAAGTAAGAGAAGCAAGGTTGGTGTAGATGTTGGGTCTATCCTCTATCCTATTACCTGTAACAGTCAGTAAACAAGGCCTTTACTAACCATAATCATCCACTCCTACTGGTAATAGGATAGACCCAACGTGTGTGTCCAGAAACCCAGCAGAGAGCTGCTAGGGCGGCATCCGGGAGGTTTTCTGTCGTTGGCCGGCCGAAGTCCTGGGATGAGCTGTGGAACCTCCCAGTCGGCGAAAAAAATAACCGCTACGTTCGGTTCGCGTGCGAACGCTACGTTCGTAGCGTCCGAACGCTACCGGGAGCTACGTGAGCTACGCTTCTTGCTACGTTCGTAGAGGACCGACCCTAAATGGTGAAGGTGAAAAGAGGATCCAAAATCGCGAAAAGCAAGATCAAAACGTGTGAAAACCCTCCAGAAGTGGGCGGGTCCAATGATTTCTATAGGGTAACAAGATTCCGCAGAAGTCCCAACACCCAGATGGAGGATGAGCTGTGGAGGTCAAGATGGAGGATGCTCCACACCAGATTCCCCTCACAGGGCGAATCTACTGTCGTGCCTAGTGCCCAATCCTCTTGATATTCTCTATATACATGTTGGGGAATCGTTTGGACAACTAGCTAGGTGAGGACATGTCAAGAACATGCCATGGATCATATCTTCAAAGCCAGAGAAGTAAGACAAGATACGTGAAGCATCCGTGCGACTAGAACGGCTCGCAGCAAAGAAAGCGCAAAAAGACGGAAAGACGAAGGGCCTGATGAAGCCATCGAAAAACGGACAAAAAAAATACATCACTATCATACCCTAGGGCTCCAACCATCTCCTCAGAAGGTTGGGCCCCCCTCGCACCCGTGCCAACCACAGTTTCGGAGGTGGGCTAGGAGCCCAAACGGGATGGCCTTTTTTATAGCGAAAAGACTTCACCTCAATGACCTTTGACAACGACTGACACTCACTCGTTTAACGGACGAAACACTCCATCTGTGCGAGCAGATCAGCTTGAAACCGTGCGAGCAGATCAGCGTGCACAAGTCATGAATCATGTTTTGCTAGCGTGTCCACACGTACACTGACAGCATTCAAAAAAAGCCCAAGAAAAATCCCCAACAGCTCAAGGCCCACCAACACCGGCCAGTTCCGCAGTTGAAGCGACCAAACACCAACACCGACACCGTGTCAGTGCATCCGGTGTGGTATTGACGCAGGAAGAAGAAAGTCATTCATGTTAGAAGCCATGAGTCGCCGCATGAGTCGCCTGAGGGCATGACAACATGACAACTGTGACAACTGTGACAACATGATGGCGTGTCAGCAATACCTCATGACCATGTCAGCTGAGGAGTACCCCATGTCAACCATTCCCATACACTCCATGGGACTGGAATAGATGCCGATCAAGCCAGACCCCCCTGGCACCATCCTTGGCCTGATAGGCAGTCCTATGGCAGTCCCAGACAGGTCGTGTCTGGGTATTTGTTTGAGGGCCTGGATTCTTAGGGGACAACTTGACCCGAACACCAGAAGCACTTGGGAGTGTCCTATCTGCTTTCGCGCGGAAGCTGCTCCGGAACTGGGCTCCGAAGCTACGACACATACCCCGAGCCTTCGTTCTTCGCTCTTCGTCCCATTTCCAGGAGCCCAAGCTTGACCGAAATCCAGGCTGCTTGGTGACAGCCGGCTGGTCATAGCGTTCGGTACGTGGATCACCTGTAAAGCCTGGTTGAAGCGGTTGTTACGTGGTTTCCCAGGCGTACAACTCTCTGCCAACCAGAGAGTTGTACGATAGATGGAACAGACAGGATTAAGGTAAACCTTTAACTCAAGGAATCTCACTGGTTGTTGGAAGACACGCCAGGATTCCTTCACTCAAATCTTAGGACATGTGGCAGAATTCGCCACGCAGCGCCGAATCGGATTCTCCCGCAATTGCTTGCTCAGAACTGACGGTGTTTTGGGCTACGGACGATGCTGACGGTGTGATAGGATTGCATTTGATGTTTTGTCCATACTTGTTGACCCTCAGTGGGAGACATACACTTGTTCACATCCCTGCCAACCAGCAGCTGTGAATCTCGCGAGTGTGTAGAGACACGAAACATGCCAAAGAGCTTTGATCGGAGTCTTCTGAAATCTTCATAAGTTATGTGCCAACAATCCTCTTGGTTTACGGTTCTTTGTTTCTTCCATGTTGGCAGTCCTTGGCGCTTGACGCCACAGAACAGAACATACTGGGCTGGAAAAAAGAATTGCACTTCCAAAACATGGCCACCTCAGACCTGTCACCTGCTTCGTGTTCTTACGTCTTAGTTTCTTCCTAGGTGTTTCACCCCGCTGGACCGGTGACTCATCCTCCGAATCATCGGTCGGACGGGATTTCCCTCCGCGGGAGGCCGAAGCAAAAGGATGCGAAAGTCCTCCAGCCCCGAAGCCCAGAACGGGATGGCGCGGCTAGGCTTGGCACGGTACCCTCAAGGTTTGGTGGACCATCTTGGGGAGGCCATCGCAGTCGTAGGAGGCCATAGCTACTGGTTTTGTTGAGCTATGAAAACACTGTAGCGATTGGAGGCCATCGCCAGTGCAAAAGAACTCTGAAAACTGTACCACCTCTTCGGCCCCAGATCCAGTCGTCGGGGTCGTCGGGGTTTCCCGAACCTCCCAATCCGGGTTCGGGCGCCTGGACCGACACGGATTCGGCCCGAAACCACACCGAACCCGGATTCTTATAAGGGGAGGACTTCCGAGAACAGAAGGACTTGACCGGTTGTCAGATGAATCCTCGGTCGACACCTTCCCAACCACCTCCACTGATCAGCTAAGATGCTAGTCCCATGCTATATACTATATATATGTTTGGGTCATATGGAAGGATTGATTTCATCATGATGAAGAAAAACAGTCAACATCAGTCAACCATGTTCATTCGTCCTTGACAGAAAGTACGTACCATTCGCCCGAAAATGGGCGCGTTTCCATGGGGCGGAAGAGTGGTGTGGGACCTCCAAGTCCTCACCAGGGAGTTGCTGAGGGAATGGGGAAACAGCAGCGTTTGGAGAGGCATGAAATGGCTGTTGTAAAAAGAGTGTGGGGGCGTGAGAAGAAGCTTGTTCTTCCTTTTCTTTCTCTCTAATAGCAATGGCCTCCAACCTAGTAGCGTCCTTGCTCCGTTTGTAGCGATGCCCTTTGTTCCTATAGTAGCGAACATTGCTCCTAGCCTTACTAACTAGTAAGGCTAGGAGCCCCTAGTACCGTCGCGTCCTTGCTTCATTCGGGGGGGAAGAACCAGTGTGTCAACCTGTGGGGCGAAAACCGGCCACTGCCTCCGGCCTCCAGTCATCTCCTGTCCATGGCTTTGGATCGATCACGGGACCTTCGTCGTGGTCGGATGCTCTTTGGGTCGGCAATCGGTGGTCGGATGGACGAAGCATAACGCATACACGACGGTTTGGGACTGCCATAGGACTGCCGATCAGTTGGGGTGGTGCCAGGGGGGTTAATGTAGATATTCCAGTCCCATGGGTCGTGTATGGGATATGTATCCCATACACGACAAATGGAACTGGAATATATGCCGATCAAGCCAGACCTCCCCTGGCACCACCCCTGGCCGTTTCTCGGCAGTCCCACGGCAGTCCCATGGGTCGTCGCGTCTGGGTCAAGTAAATGAAACTGGGCAAAAGATCTCGACAATCATAGCCATTGCCAACAGAAATTCTCAGGTGTTGTACCTTCAACATGAACTGCTTCATTCTTTCGTCTTCCATGACCAGGACCAACCGCACCCCGTTTGTGTGTATGTGTGTGCAAGGCTTGCCTCTTCTGCGAGCAGGGGCCTCAAGCACTTGAGCGGAATCGGTGCCGGCATGCTCATCAGGCTGTGACAGGCCCATTTGCATACCCAGTCAGTGGACAGCCTGCAAAATTTTTTGAAGTGGGTTCCCCACTCTTTGACCGGGTGCGATAATTAGATAAATATATGTTCGGTGCGTTTTCTTTCAGAGCGTCGCACGTGCGCGCACGTGCGCGCGAGACGGGTGGAACAGATGGACAAAGTTAACTGTTAACCTTTATGTTCCAGGGAGACTGAAGGAGTCAGTCTGACGGCAGCTGTGGATACCAATCCAAAGAGTCCAATGCTCTGCATGCCAATGCTGTTGGTGGGCCAGGTGATGCTTGCCACCCTGCTCGCGACTTGCAAAATTCGTAGGGACCACAAAAGAATCGACTTCTAATCCACATGACATATCATGACCCAGACGCTCCAATGGGGACTGGAATATCTACATGCCTTTGGGGTGGTTTCAGGGCTCCACTAGATATGCAATGGAGTGATGCCCGGTGATGCCCGGTGATGCATTCATGGGATCATCAGGGATCAGAACTGCCAACTGCCACAAGTTGGGACCTCGCACCGGACTGCCCGGCATGAGAGGGTTCCTGAACTGGTCGGATGCAGTTCAGGTCTGTCATGCCTTGTTTCTAGGAGTCCAAGCACCATGGATCTTACATGATTCTTACCAAACAACATCAAGCGACCATGATCTTCCAAAGCATGTATTTCCCACACGGTCATTCTCTGGACACCCCCACTACAATAGTGGAAGGGTCCGTGAGAAGCGCAACAGCGTGCGCAGTGCGCAAGGACGAGACCAAACAACCTTGTGTTTCAAGGATTGTACACTACAAAAACCAGTGCCAACCATTTTTCTCCATTGTCTTTCAGGGGTATGGTTTGGGTCTGTCCTATGATCTGTAACAGTCAGTAAACAATGATCATCATTTTTTGAACAAGGCCTTTACTATCCGTCATCATCATCCACTGTTACAAATAATAGGATGGATCCGAGGTATGGTTTTGATTGATATGGTGTTGATATTCACTTCTTGATAAAAAGAGCTCTCAGAAAGATACATCACTCGAAGCGATTATTGTACACCCTATGACTATATACAGCAGTTGGAGCTGAGCACTGGTTTATGGAACTGGTTTACTTCCAGTGGAGCCTGAATGCTCCTCCTGTTGATGAATCATTAATCCCGGACACTCCATGGGGCTAGCATACTTGCCTAGGTTGGGGTGGTTTGAGTTGGGAATTCTCAATCGATGTCGAGACTTCCCTTCAACTTCGCATCAGATGGTGTAGCGGAGGTGTATAGCGGAGGTGTATAGCGGAGGTGCGGGTATGTAAGACCAGACACTCAGAAGCAATAACTACTCTTTCCATCTCTTTCCTTCTAAGAAGATGTTGCATGAATCACTCGAAAAGGCCAAACAACCTGTAAGGAGGTCAATGGTCGGAATTGAATATAATTGAATCATGCACCACCTGCCATTGCAAACCTCGGCCGATCCACACCCTTGTTCCTCCTGCCGCCCCCCCCTCACAAAACCCACCGGAAGGCGACCAAAGGTCCTTCGCTCGGTCCAGGATCTGCGCTCGTCCACTGAAGATCAGGCGACGCGAGATCCAGAAGGAACACCTTCCACCCTAAGAATCGCCCGGGCCTTCTCCCTCCCTCTTCGTTGGGAAAACGGACCCGATGGTCCATAGCCTTCTTTTGAGCTACCATGGTCTCACATCACCTTTCCGGAGCACGTGGCGAGCTGCCGGGGACGAGCGTCTTTTTCTGAGACGAAACGGTCTCCCGAATCGAATCGAACGTCCTGGTCCGACGAATCGATTCGAACGTCCTGGTCCAATGAATCGATCCGTTCTCAGCGTTTTTGATCCAATGGCCACGTCCAGTATTTCATGAGCGACCGGACTGACCTGTTTAAGGGGGATTCGGAGCGGCGACCTTCTGGCCTGGCACCTGCATTTGGCCGATCCAGTGGTGGTTAGTCAATGTCATAGATCTTCCCAAATCTGCCCAATTGATGCCGAACTTGGCTGTTTTTTGTATCCCAGACGCGACTAGTGGGACTGCCGTGTATGCCGATCAGGCCAGGGATGGTGCCAGGGGGGTCTGGCTTGATCGGCATATATTCCAGTCCCATTTGTCATGTATGGGATACATATCCCATACACGACCCATGGGACTGGAAGTCTATGCCGATCAAGCCAGACCCCCCCTGGCACCATCCCTGGCCGTTTTGAAGGCAGTCCGTCATGGCAGTCCCATGGGTCGTCGTGTCTGGGATATGGATGACAAGGCCCATGGAAGATCGGTCGGTCGCTGACCGTCCCAGCGACCCGAGTCGTCGCGAGTCGCTCACTCCGACCATCTGGGTGTGCCCACTACGCTTCCCCCGAGCCCACTACACCCAGGTCACCCAGGTCTGGGATGCTCCAGGTAGAGATCCCCCTTCTCCCTCTTCGCGGAAAGACGGACCCGGTGTCCAAACCCCCAAGGTGTTGGTGAAGCGGCCCGGAGTCAGAAGGGATATCTACCAGCATCCTGCGACTTTAAAGTCTGCAATCGCCACCATGTCGGAGACCTGGAATGATCCTCGGTGGCTGGTCAAAAAAGAAACAAATTAAACCAACAAAAAGAGGTATATATGGAGATTATGGAGTGTTTGGATGTGTTTGGGAGTTAAAAGTTACAGTAAAAGCAATGGTTTTCATGTCTTTGGGAGAAATCCACGTCAAACGTCCAAACGGCCATCGTCCGGCGGGAGCGTCCACGGCCATCGTCAGGTGGGGACACAGACCGAGATTCTTCGGCAGAAGTCTGTATCCTCAGGGGAAATGGATGAAACTTCAGTTGCCCTTGCAGTTTGGCTGGGATGCATACATGGATGCATGAAGCTGATGCAATTCGCCCATGTATGGGTGGTATTTCATGGGTATGCTGACACCACTGCGTTCCCTCTCCGTTCCCGCTCAGTTCCCGCTACCTCGGCTGGGAGTTGGCGGAACGAGATCTCAAGGCGCGGAGAGGGGAGGGGGAACAAGGAGGCGGAGGGGGGGCGGAGACACAGTGCCGGTCGGGGGTGACTGAGGTAGATCGTTGAGGTACTGAGGTACTGAGTGCTCTTCTTGAAAGGTGATGTTGAAAGGTGATGTGAACATGGGCTGCTTTGTCGCGACGATTTGCTCCATTCCCCGGCCGTCTCAGCACCGGCCAACTGGACGTACTGCACTTGATGGTTCCTTCACAGGGCACGAAGGAAAACAGGGGTCTTCGTCGAGTGAGGCAATTTTGGGGATGAACCGATGAAGCATGTACGCGTTGCCCTCAAATCATGTGTACGTTGAAGGCTCCAGCTGGGGGCACATAGGCCTTTGCTCCGCGGTCTTTTCACCACAGCTGGAGTTTTCTGGGGAGGTCCATGTCTGCTCCGCGGGATGCTGACCGATCACCACCGATCACCTGGCAAGCCCAGATGTCCGTCTTCTCACTACCTCGTTTGATTCGAAACAAAGTTCGAGGACAGGTCCCTGAGTTCACCGGAACAGAAGCTGCTTTTCGAGGACAGAGTTTGTCTTTGCGGGAAATGGACAGGTGGAAAATAAGGGTCATTCTGTAAAAAAGGGTTTTCACTGCAACAGTCCAGTTGTCCCGGCTCGCGAGTCACTTTCGCACCTTTGCTGCATTCCACCAGACATCGAAAAAAGCCGGGTCTTTGCCCACATCGAAAAACAGCCGGCGCAGAACCTCTTCGGCCGCAGCTGTGGCGATGTTCTGCGCCGATCTGGGCTGTGCAGGATCTGGGGGAGCTAACGATCTTCCACAACAAGGCTGGGTCGGTCTCCAGAGGAGGAAGTCACCGAGGCACCTGGAGAAACCAGGGTCCCAAGCAGAAACAAATGGTTGGAACCCAAAATGGCTTACTTAAGATCCTTTACATAGGCAATGGTTGTTTGGGGAAACATCCATGTCTTTGGGACTGGGTTTTCCTGCGTTGACCAGATGGGTGGCGATGGGTGGTCGGCCACGGTGCGACAGGTGAGGTCTGTCGGGTGGGTTTGTGACAGCCACGGCGACTGCGCCGAGGGGGCGTGAATGAAAGAAAGAAAGGGTGTTGTTGTTGTTTTTTTCTGTGTTTAGGATATGGCGACTGTTGGATATGTCGAAAAAGAAAGGAAAGTGCTTGGTCATCAGTGGCATGAGTGAGTCTGACAAACTTTTACTCACACCGACTCACACCCAGTTTGATTTCAAGGACCCCCTCATCAAACTACAACTGTTCCACGAGTTGCGGATGCCTGGTGTACTTGCGGGACAAGCCAACAAAATCCAACAAATGACAAACAATGACAAACATCATTTCATGGATTTCTGGCGCCTGGGGCCTTTTTTTGCAGTGAATCTGGGCCTTGGGCGTCAACCAATGCGGTCTTAGTCCATGTGGCATGGGTTTTCACTGATCCATTCCTCCGGCCTCATGGGTTCAGACCTTGGAACCTGGAAATGCTTCTTCATCGGGTGACCGACCCGCTCCGCCTGCCTGCCGCCTGCCGCGCAGATGCTGCGCTTCCGACGTGGTGCACAGTCCCCGCCGCAGGCGCCAAAAACTGGTGGTGTCTTGTGGTATTCTGCTCGCGTTATGAGAAGCGCTTAGGCTTTAGAAACCCATTATTGCCAGACTTGTTCTTTTGATTTGTCATTGGTACAGGCCGAATAATTAGGTGAAGCGTTTGTGCCCAGTCAACAGAATGTGCAGAGCCTTTCTCCAAGAACCAGTCCTCAAGATGGCAATGATGTTTTGGGCATAGGCCCAGTTTTGTGTTGCATACTGTTTGTACCCCTTGTGGCAAGAAACTGTGTGCATACTGTCTGGCATATTGAGCCTACTGCATAAGAGAAAGTAAAGAACTCTATCCAAAAACTCATGGTATTTTGCCTCAAAGCAGGGATCTTGCGGGCGATATGACCGGTCATCGCTACAAAAGAACGAGGTTCATGTGCCTTCTCTGGGCCGCAAAAAGCTCCGGAACAACAACAACGAACTCGAAGTCCCTGCGACTCCAAGACCATCCCCATGAAGATCGCATGCTCCTCGCCTCCCTCGTCTGGATAGGCGAGCCCAGCACAGCGGCTCTACCAGTTGAGGATGATGATGGTGAGGGGCCTCGACGAGAGTTTTTTCTCTTCGGCGTGTTGACGAGTCTCTTCAGAGAGTCGCCATGTCTTCAAGCCCTACCCAGGAAAAGTGGATAACCAGCAAAACCTTTTTCGGGGGATTGGTTTCCCCAGTACATATGAAGGTTAACCTTCTTTTCAAGGGAAATTGAGGGGGTCAGCCAGTCAAGCAATTTGGCTAATAAGGCATCAGTCGGCACTGCTAGAAGAACGAAAGATTCCTTTCACCACTTGTGACTCAGCAGATAGATGTCGATAGCACGACGATGTTCATGCAGAGAACGATACGGTTGATCAATGATTCGATTATGAATGATGCCTTTATCTTTCCCATACACTCCATGAGACTGGAATATATGCCGATCAAGCCAGACCCCCCTGGCACCACCCCAACTGATCGGCAGTCCTATGGCAGTCCCAGACAGGTCGCGAACCTGGGTGTTTTTGGTGAAGCCACACTCTGTGAGTGTCTTACGGTCGCGACACCTTGGGGGCGTTTTTGCCCCCAATGGCTGTGGGATAGACCTCCCCAGTAGGTGGACCTCCCGACGTCTCTGAGGACCTGTGGTGTAGGGAGTCTAACCCGTCAGTGTCCGAGTGCCATGACCCACAGCCGAAGAACCAAGTCGACATGGAGCAGACAACGAGCATTCGAGGATCACTCTTCTCAAACAAACACGTCGACACATGAGACAAGCCACCAAATCCGTGCACAAACGGACGACTGAAAAATTTGCTACTGTCATGCGACATAATGACATAATGTGATGTCCAGTGCCAAATCCAAAGGCCAGACTGATTAAAGAATCCATCAGTTTGTGAACTGCTGCGAAGCATTCTCTGATGCTGGTTGGTGATACCATTTGGTAGAACGGGGAAGGATCCTGTAGCACGCTGAAGCCGGATCCTGGTTTCTAATGGGTTTGTTGGACTAGAACAACACCCTCACAACGGACAGAGAAGGATTTTCATGTTTCAACAACGTGTATAATACTTCTTGCTGTTTCAAGAGCAAGAACAGGGTTCTGCAGCATGTTTCTCCTATCTCATCTGAGTATCTGAGTGTGTAAGGTCTCCTTGTTAAAATAACGAAAATAAAACAATATATATATATATAATAATTCTTAATACACCCATGTACTGACTCTGACTATGCCTAGCACACCCATCTCGTCACTGAGGAGCATCAAGATGGACACGACCAGGGACCAGCGCCTCTCGAAAGGCGCCAGCACGGAGAAGACCCGACCCATGGCGGCTTCTCCGTGGATACCACTCACCGGGAAGAGGAAGACACTAGGCATATGAATCATTATGAATCTATAGGTTGTTTCCTATCAAAACAGAGGTCATGTTTGGGTTCTAGGTAGAAAAATCCTACGATTCCCAGTTTATCCCTTTTTTAATAGGCTGAATGAATTCCGAACATCCATGCACTACTAAGGATCTTACAGTACCAAACCAGATCAATCATGTTTTAATATACTATTTGCATTGTCTTGGAAGGTTTAATTGTATATATATATATTACATCCCCGTGCGAATAACCATTCCAAAATGCAGGGCCTTGAGGCCCTATATGAGGGGTCATTTTGTAGTGCCCAGCCCTGAAATCGGGTAATACATGCCCAACTCACTGTGTGACTGATGTGATATGAGGTTGAGGCCACCATTTTGTAAGGATTTGTAAGTAAGAATCTGGGGTAGTGGGCCTATCAGGGGCTTACAAAAAGATGTTGAGGCCGCTAGTTTGTAGCGATATCATCCTGGAGCAGGACTACAGAATGATCCAGGCTATTTGATTGTGTAGTAGAAGGCAATTGTTCATGGACAGGAATCACATTTTGCAGTCTGTGAGCAATTTAGGCATTGGAATAGGACGTTACAACATGACCTAAGGTATATGCATTTTGTAACCTTATGAGCTCCACTGTATGGACAAGCATGTCATTTTGTAATCTGTGAGCCATTTCGGGACTGGAACAGCACATAGCAGAAAGACCTGAGGTATAGCAATTTTGTTAACAAAAGTTGACGGAAAGCTTCCGTATGGCCGGAGATTGTTCGGAAAGTTGCACATTGTCTCCGACAGACATATCGATTTGAGGTTGAGTCCATTCATTTTGTAGTGAGCATATTTTCCAGAGCTCATTGAAGCCCTGTACACAATGATGTCATGTACTTCATTTTGTAATGACCAAACTAAAATTTTGTATGTCGGACAGGCCTTTCTGTAGGACAAGAATACTTTTTTGCTACAAAATGCCTGACACAACCTCAACCCCTGAATTCGTACGGGGATTATATTACACTGCATATTATTGTATCACACTTTTGGTGACAGTCGGGGAAAGGTCTGCAACCTCAGAGAATCATCATTTACTGGGGGCCCTGGTAATGGGTGATACCGTTATACCCGATTCCCAGTTTTTGCATGGCTGGTGAGTTCCTCACCGCTGCGCTGTTCTTTTAAACAGAGGACGAGGTGGGCTTGTCGCACGTCATCAATTGACCCACATGACCACCACCACGAGGTGGGCTTGTTGCCTTTTGTTCTCAGAAGGTTTCAGATATGTTATGTTCAACCTTGACTTCTTGGGATTTTGCGCTATTGTTCCCACAGGTCCTCATCTGCATGATGTTCTTCGTTTCTCAAGGGGCACCCGGACCACGATCGGTGTGAACGAACACACCGTGACTCGCCGAACACAGGGTGGCAAGTCCTGCGCGGTCCGGGAACCTGGCCTGCGGGGAAACGACAGAAAACTCACGAAGCCTTAGGCCCTGCAAACAAAAGGTCCGATCGTAGCTTCTTGTTCCAAGTCCAGTTTAAATTCAGTCCCAGAGCCCCTTACTCGTAGCGTCCGATCGCGAACGGTTCGTAGTAAGGCCAGGAGCCCCGTTCATAGTTTTTTGTTACTAGTAGCGATGCGCCCCTAGTAGCGTCCTTGCACGAAGCCTTAGGCCCTGCAAAGAATGAATTAGTATACTGTGTACCCTATCATCATGGAAGGTGTTTGCCCATGGATCGCGTCGGGGTGATTGGAGTCCACGGAGTTCACCAGGCGATTTCCATCGTTCAATTCGGATGTACTCTGCCTGGAATGATCATGGTTACGTGGAGTTCACCACATGTTTGGTTCGTGGATTTCATGGTCTTCCTTTCGGTGCGGCCATGCCATCCGCGTAACCATGTTAGTTCGAGTGTAAAGCTTCCAGGACCTCACCCCAGACCTTGCACTTCGAGGACAGAGCTAGATTCCTGGGCGCGAAATCGAATTGACGATGTTGTTCCCGGTCGCTGTGAGTCCCTGTTCTTTTAGGGTCCTTAGCATGAACAGAATCTCAACAATTTGCAGCAGCATCTTTGAGAGGGGTGTACTGTAGGGGAGTGCTCTCAAGAGAACAACAGATGTTTGATTTTGTGCCATCTTATGTATCATATGGAAACTTGACAGTCCCTTTTAAAGGTATCATGTTTGATAAGATGTGTCTTTGTGATGGTAAGGTCAGCGGTCAATGGGCATGCTTCTGTTTGTCACCCTTCACCTTCAAGAGGCAGTTGGAGGTTGCAGAATTGTTTTGGGTCGAGCATTTTGCTTGACTTCTCCTCACTTTGATGTCGCACTCTCACTCAATTTGTGCAAAGCCATTGTGTCTTTTCTTGCACATGAAAAGGACATGAAGTGGAGGTTACACCATCATTCTTGGCCGCCTCTTTTGTTCGCCAATACGTTGGATCAAGGACAGAACCAGGACTGGCATCGCGGTGTTGGATCCGGCGGTTTGGGAAGTGGACGAAGGAAGTCGACCGACCATCACGGACCTGGGTGGGGCTGGGGGCATGTCCAGCCACACCCAGATGGACGGATGGTCCTGGTTTGTGGCCGGCCACGGGGCGGGCTGACCAGGATAGTGGCCCTCTCACCACTGGTGGTGATGCAGGGGTCCTCAGATAAAAAGCTCGCCACACTCGGGTTCCATGCCATGCGGTGCACAGGTCCCTGTATGTGGACCAGGGGTAGTTCTCGCGGTGCTTCCACAAAACCCTCGGAGTGCTTGAATCTTCAAGGGGTGCCATTAGCTTTACTATGCTTTACTAGTAGCACACAGGCGGTTTGACCCACGGTTCCTTACTCTTAAGGTTTGAATGTCATAAAGTCATGAAGAACCAGATTGGCAGCTGGTGAGAGGTCATGTGTCCCACCACTATCTATCATTAGATGTCATGAGGTCATGGAGTCATGCCGGTATGTACTTGTTCCTAATAGCAAACATTGTTACTACTAGTAAGGCACTTGTTACTAGAAGCGATGCACTTGTTCCTAGTAGCTTATTGTTCCTAAGGTTCTGTTTGTTTGCACGCCATGCTGCTAGTTCTATTTTGGATTCATACCTGGCTTCCCAAGTTCCAAGGTTCTTTCCGATCCATCCTTCCCTGGCCTATTAGGTTGGAGGCCATCGCTCTTTTCCGGGGAGGCCTGCAATCGTAGGTGTTTTCTAGAAGGTCTCAGAGTCTCAACAAACAACGCTGTACAGTAGTAGTAGCAAGTAGCTACTAGTAGCTCTTGGCCTTACTACTAGTAACAAGAAGCTACGAACGTATCAAAGGGCATCGCGACTCGAACGGAGCGGTTGGACGCGAACCGAACGTAGCTCCTGGCCTTACAACTCGGAGCGGTCGGAGCTCACACCCGAAGCTACGCTGTTTGAAAGCTCACACCCGAACAGCTCCTCGGCGACCATTTTTAGCGACGACCGGGTGCCCCCGTGAAGAAAGGCGTTTTGGCACGTCGGGCCCCGAGCCCTCACCCCATCGCCCATGGCCAGAGGGTCCCAGAGGGCCCGGACCGAATCCAGGACCATTTTGTCTGTCCGATCGTCGTTCGATCGGATTCCGGAACGGTGTGGGTTTTTCGTTGGATGTCGGTGCGGACCGGAATGTGTTGAGGCCAGTCCAGCCCGCTTGCGTCGGCTGGCGCATCAGATGCAGTATGCCGCGGGGCAAAGAAGATGGTGATTGGGGTGTGGGAGAGGCGTCGAGGATGGTGATTGAAGTGCACAAAACGCGCCGCGAGTCGAACTGGTGATTTAAGATGTCGACGTGCGGATCGGAGGATCGGAGGATGGTGGGAGTTCAGCCTGCGAAATGGGTCTCAGATCCTGGGTGCACCGAAACCACGAGTTTTTGGAGCGAAGAATCGTGTTTTTGGTGCACGAGGTGAATCAATGAATGACGAATGTATGATATGGTAGGTGTCTATATTGTTCATATACGTGTAGCAATCTTTCAGTCATTAGAGTGGCCCATTCCTGGGCCATGACAACAGAGATGGCTGTGGGTCAAAACCAGGGACCCGAGCTGCTCCCTTGGTTGACCCCAGACCATCCATCTGTCCTGGCTGGACTACCCAGCCCACGATCTGTCTAGGGATCTCCATGCCCAGGACACCCAGGTCCCGGATGCTGGTAGGGAATCTTAGCAGTAAATCAACCAACCCTCCGTCACACCTGGCAGTGGCCCAATTCCTGTGGGGTAGGAGCGATCGGACGCTACGTACGGGGCTCCTGGCATCGCTAGGAACAAGGACGCTACGAACGGGGCTCCTGGCCGTACTACTAGGAACAATGTTTGCTATTAGAAATAGATTTTTAATTACCTTTCCGCTGCGCCGCTGGGTGGAAGTCGATGTCCCAGGCAGGCCCTGGGCGGGTGCAACTCATGGCACGCGCGGTCGGCATGAATGTGCGGCCGCCAGGGGGGATGTGATCCGTTGCAAAGAATGTTGGGATGGGGCGCCAGAAAAATTATATATGTATAATGATATGAGCAACTGTCAAAACCTCCGATGAAGGCAGCATCACTACAGTGAAGACTAAGTAAATAAAGTGAAGGAAACCTTCAGGAACGATAATAGCGCGACTTGCGGTCCCTGTCCGTCACGGCCTTTCATAGGCAGTGAAGTCGGAGGGGAAGCGTCCCTTCACTCAGCCCACCACTTCATCGCTCCTGGACGTTCCATACCACTCAACAACACCATCGTCAACCAAATCACCCACCCTCCTGACCATATCAATGGTCCGTCGCAGAGGCTTCTGTGCAAAGTGTGTGGCCAAATTGGCCGTCACACTCTCAGAAATGGCGGCTGGCCGATATCCGTCGGTACACCGAAACATGCGGCAAATCAATGAACCCCCTACCTAACGAAAAACCAAGCTCTCTAGCAACCCCAGCAACAACCCCCTAAAAACAGCAAGATCTACCGACAAAGTCTTAGTAAAAGCGTCAGCCAAAACATGTCGAGGGTTGATCCAGCGCTTGGTCACTGGATCCTCCACTGGCAACTGTGAACGAGTGGCCAAGCGCCACCCAAAATAGAGTTCAAGATGTGAAATAAGGCCTTCTTCCTCCGCATCAAAATCACAAAAACTCAGAAACCGAAAAACCGAGGTCACAATTTCACATCCAAAACGGGATGCTGTTTTCGTAGCAGCCAGCTCAAAACTCCGCTCAAGGGTGAAAAAGCTACAAAACATGCGTTGTGCACTTTGCATTGCACGGTGGGGAAGCAAAGCACTCAGAGGTTGGTTTTCTTGAGCTTCAGCATCAGACACAGCTTCGTGGGATGTTGCCACTGCTAGCAACTGCTCTTTGGCTAGCTCGACAAAGGCGCTGGTACTCTGTCCACTCCTGAACAAAGGCAGCGCGAGTGTTCCAAAAATCTTGGGATCTACCCGCATTAGCCATATTCGCAGCTGTGTCCGCGTGTTGGTTGCCCTTTCAGGAACGAAAATAAGGTTCAAAAAAATCGATTAGGTTTTAGTACATGTTGTTAGGTGTGTCCAAACCCTCAGGAATGATAAGGTTCACAGAAAGGAACGATATCGTTGGGAAGAGCGCGCACTACAACACATGAGGTTTTTTGCGCGTCTCTCATATATAATATATATTACTATATGCACGTTTTACGATAGAACCTGAATGACCAAACGAGTGAAAAAGCGAACCAAAAAACCATGGGCCCTTTCTCCTCAAGACCAAAAAGGGTCATGTTTGGGTTCTAGGTCAGCTGTGCTTCACTCGTTGGGGCTCGCTGGTCCGAGCTCCGTGGTCCGCTCTTCTCCGATACGTATCGTGATGATCGTGCCGTGTGGGCTTCCAAGCGGTCATTCATTTGGGGTGACTACACATCGAATACATGCAAGTCCAAAACATCAGGGGTCCTGCAATAAAGGGGTTTGTTCTTTGTCTTCTGTTCTACCAAGTGTTGATGGGTTGATGCCCAAGTTTTGAGACCAACCTGAGAAAAACATGACTGGACGTCCTTCTGGGGATCCTGGGGCCTAGGCACTGCTGATTGGGACCTTTGAATCTTTGGATCTGATTCTACCAGGGCAGGTCCCCTGGCTCGACTACCCTGTACCACTTCCCTGGACTTCCAATGGATGGTCCAGGTAGATGATGTGGAAACACTGAGCCACTTGGCTCCCTCTTTTTATAGGCGAGTTCCACTTCCACGAGCTAGGGAGCCAAGAGGGGGACGTAGAGAAAACTTAAGACATGAATGACCCAAGATCCACCAGGGGTCACAAAGGGGTGGCTTTAGTCCCTAAGTGAGTGGATAATGGGCACCCCTAACCTCCATTAAGCACCCGTTTGTGACTGCTGGCAGAGAGTCTTCGTCCAGAGCCCATCTTTTGGAGGAGATCCCTTCAACCCCTTCGAGCGAAGCCCTACGTAGCGTATTACGCCGTGCGCCATCTGCAAGTGCCGCCATCTGCAGCATCTGCAGCGGCGTATCGCTCAGCTCACCTGTAAGTACTCGTGATCCTTGGCGCAAACACCTTCTCCCAAATCTGAAACCGTTCCGCTTCGGTGTGGCGTCGTCGTAGTCCAGATCACACCGAATCGGAATGCTCTCTGACCCGTGTAGACCGGACGCGCGCTCCGCCAGGTGGCCACCGGCGGTCGCCGGAATCTCTAAGAGATGCCCCGGCGAGGACGGTTCCGACCGGTCAGTAGGGGGGGGTTTGGGTCATCCTCGACGGCAGCGTTTTGGGCAGTGGGGCAGCGAAGTGTTCCTTAAGGGAGGTAGTAGTGGAGGTAGGGCAAGTCAATGCCTGTTTATATGTTGATTTACTTGTTGAACATTATTGATGTAACGATACCGTAGAATTACTGACACATAGGACCACTCACCAGAATCTTTTCTGGTCCTTTCCGTTCAGACACCAGGGTCTTCAATGATGGGTTTTCGGTAGTTTGGACTTGACCACGAACGGCCCAAATCAACCATCAGAGGTAGAGGAGCCGAATACTTCTACCTGGTCGGTTTCCCCATCAGCGGAATTCATTGGATACACCGGTCCTTCAAGGACCACATATGACCGTCCTCCAGTGCTGCAAAAAGAGCGCAAGTTATCACAAAGGTCCTGTTGGTGTTGGTGTGAAAAGGTGTTGTCTTTTGAATTCTCTCGAAGATATGCATCTAGGTGATGAAGCAACTAGCTGGATGTTGAAGGACGGTGTATTTTTTTGCAACAGAGGTGGAGAGGCTCGTGTCAACTGACTGACTTGACCAACACTCTCGCTTGGCTTGGAAGATCAGATCTAACACTCTCGCTTTTGGGTGGATTGAGACTAGATGGCAAGCTTGGGCAGACGCCAAGCTTGGGTGGATGTTTGTTGCAATGGTTTCAGAGTAGATGGCGCCAACCTCAGTAGTAGGTGTCCGGCTTCCCAGATGCCCATCTTTTCAAGACATCCAGTAAGCTACTAGGAACAAGTGCATTGCTACTAGAAACAAGTGCCTTACCAGTAGTAACAAGAAGCTACTAGGAACAAGTGCCACGCTAGTAGTAACAGGTGCCTTACTAGCAACAGGGGGCTTCGAACGTGGCGTCGAACCACGGAGACGTCCGCTCCGACGCGCGCGCGCGCGGCCGTAACCCGCCCTCACAGCCGAGGGACTGAGAGGAAAGGGACCAGCTGGTGAGACCGATGCAGAGAAATCACCGCTAGGGATTGCAAGTGTATTGTTCTGGTAGAGAAGCAATCCTTTCTTAGTTTTCGGAAAAAGACAATGCCCAAATCATTCCACGATGAAAGACAAACAGGAAGAACGTGGTATTTGTGGAAACTCGCGTAGATCAGGATCCAAGAGCTTTCTCTATAAATTTCGCTTACGTGACTACTTCATGTGCGGTAGACAAAACAAGTGGATCTCCTGAATGGATCTACAGGCACGTTCTTCTGCATGGTCAATGAAACGAGTCCATGATGTCTCTTCAATTTTTTGGGGTAACTGGATTAACACCATGTCGCTGCAAACATTCGCAAAGTGATCCAGGGTAAATGTCACGTTACTAGCTTCGAGCATACCACCTTCGCACCCTTCTTTCCCTCACTTCATCGACGGACCGTGGTGGGAGACCCCACGAGAACAGACCGATGGCGGATCTTCAGGCGGGGGCCGCGGCATCGACCGAGGGCCGACAAACGTGTTGATGTATCCTATTCACAGTTGTTTAATGGTCAAGTTGTGACAGACCGAATATGAACAAATGGAATATGTGTACTACTATAATCTACTATATAACTCCTGCCCTGGTGCCTACCTTTTGAATGACACTCTTGTGCGACGCTCTTCTGGCACACCGTTGTGTGACACTCTTTTGCGGGACGCTCTTTTTGTGGGACACTCTTGTGTGACAATCTTGTAGGACACACTTCTGTGATGCTCTTGCAAAACTCTCATTGCGTGACACTCTTGTACAACATTCTTTCTGAGACTCTTGTGTGACACTTTCGTAGAACTCTACTTAACAATGTGGTGCGACACTTTTTTTCGTGACAGTCTTGTAGGACACTTTTGCACGACACTTTGCGCTCTTGTAGGACACTAGCATGCAGCACACACTCATACTGATGTACTCCTGTTCTAAGAACACTTGAGTGGGCAAGTACAAACTACTCAACCATGAGTGGACATCGTCTCTACCAGTTTTCAATATCCTCCTAGCACAGAGAGAGAGAGAGAGAAGGCACTTCTCGCCTCACGTTCCCTCGCATCGGATCTTCTAGCTCTCTCCTTTTTTTCCTCGGTACCACATGCACCGAATTCTCCTCCAGCCGTTATCCCTTGTAGGATTCGAACCTCTCCGCGTCCAAGTCTGACAGCACGAATCCACGCCTGACCGACTAGGCAACTGGACTACCTGGACCTGTCCTCTATCATCCTCTATCTCTATCTCTATCTCTCTTTGGTGCTCTCTGTCTATGTCTCCATCAATCGTTTGACTTCGCGAAGAACGCAATAGCAATCATGTAAACTTGGTGTTCGACATTGGCCGCAAACAACACTCCCTTGGGGACAACCGGGGACAACTACAAGATTTGACTATCCAAAAGAACTGCAAGGAGTATTCAGCATGAGAATCGCTTTGGTACAAATCAGGGCTTTAAGAGCACAGGAGTTCACTGTGCTTTCTGACTGCAAGATCCCCAATCTATGACCGTTTAGAAGTGTCTGAGAACGTGGGGGCCGTAGGAACATCAGACTCCAATCACCTGCAGTGTCCCATCAACACCCCAACAAAGGTTGAAGAACCCTTAAGAAGAATCCCCTGGGTGGACACCATAGAAAGCGAACTGACCTATGTCCAGAGGTCTGTGAACTGACCTGAGTGAATGAGTGAGCGAAGACTTGAATGTTGCTTTTGCCACGTAGCATAGTGCTTTGGTGCAACACTGGAATTTGAATGTCACGGGAATCTTACAGTAATGATTGTAGCTCCCACGTGATCCGGTCATCAACGTTTCACAACTACTGGACGTGTTTCTCTCAAGCTTCATCTCTAGGGGCCCACTCACTCCTTTGCCAAACATGTCCTCAGCACAAAGAGACTCTGGCAAAAAGACGAATGAGAAAGATGCCAAAAGGCTGAGACATCAACAAAGACTCTGGCGATGATCTTGGAGAGGAACATCTCGTCGAAGGCTTTTGAGGAATTACATCCAACACTTGATTGAGAAGATGGACCCAAACGCACCAGGGTATTGCGCACACCTTAGAGGAGCCAACAAGGATGCCTTCGAAAAGACACTCCAGGATGCTGTCAGTTGGACTGGAGCAGAATTGGAAGATCAGACTCAGCTTGATGCTTTGATGGCAGAAATCAAGTTAGTCATAGACGAAGAAAAGGCCAAGTCGCTTGACTCAGCAGGCTATCGAAAGGAACAACTGGTCAACATGCCGATCTTTATTGGAGTATTGGGCAAAAGTTCATTCAGCCACGTCTTGATGATCGATGTTGCGAATAAGATCAAGGGACCAAAAGATGAAGCTGCACTGCACTCTTACTTCCAAGCTTTCAAAACCGAGAGTTCAGAAGGAGTCGCTCCGATCTACACAAAGTGCTTGAAAGACAAACCGTCGAGTTGAGAATTCTCATTGGGCCACTTTCCGAGGTCGCCCCTTCGCGAATGAGCCCAGTATCGAGTAGGCTCATTGGCTTGTGAGTGAAGAAGCCAATATGTTCGCTACGCGGGAGAGAAAATACACAGGAACTTGTGAAAACAGGCGCATTTAGTGTGACCCGGAACCGACGTGCCGCAGACATCGAGTTCGATTGTTAACTCCCTATAGACCACCATCCCAGTTGGGCCAGGTTAACGGGTCCTATGGTTCGCCCACTTCACCTTGCTTGGACCCATCTCAAATCTCTCTTTGCGCGTTGAACCGAAGTCGACGACTCGACCGACCCACCTGGCAGGGTCCAGAGACCTACGGTTTCCCGCACCCGCACGGGCGGCCCAACTACTTCGGCGCGAAAAGCGTGACGCACGCGCGGGTTGGATGAACTCATGACAGCGAAGGATGGCAACTGACCGTTTCGCATGTATGACTAGCCAGTGTCCTGGAAACCGAGCCTTGCCCAGTGACCTCACAACAACGAGATCAAGTTCTAGGACCTTTCAACAGCTCCCATTTTTTTGACACCCCGATAATCACCTCAGCCATGTAGACTAGTTGATTAATGAATCAACCTCCCCCATTTGGATTGCAAAACCTTTTCGGAATTGGTGGTTATTCATACACCTCGTTCGGGTGTCCGGTTTTCGTTCGGGTCACTTCGTTCGGACGCAAAGGCTCGGATGTGACAGACCACTGGGCCCCGGATTTCAGAGGTCCGGTTTTTCCAAGGACGCTACGAACGTAGCTCCTGGCATTGCTTCCAGTAACAAGAAGCTACTGGGAGCAAAGGGCATCGCTATTAGGTTGGAGGCCATTACTACTAATGCTTGAAATTTCAAGTTAGACAGTTTTATTGCTAAGAAACTTTCCAGGACATACTAGAAAACTGTACTGATTTTATTGTTACTTGTCCCAAGGAAGCTTCTAGTTAGAAAGCTTTATTGTTACTATCAGCGATGGATGGCCTCCACCTAGTAGCTTTTCTATAGGGATCCACGGATCCACCCTTTATAGGAGATTCGTCATGATGTAGCCGGTCGCCATGTTTGTGTCCTACCTCCGATGGGGTTGATCCGTGGAGGGGAACCCAGGCCTTACCCATCACAGCTGGACTTCATGGCGAAAGTCTACGAGACCCTGGAGATGGGTGGCGTCGCCGTTCTGGATCCTTGGATCGCTACTAGGAGCGAGGGCTCCTGGCCTTACTACTAGGAGCAAGAAGCTACAAGTAACAAAGGCCATCGCTACTTGTAACAAGAAGCTATTAAGGGCTCCTGGCATCGCAAGGTTGGTACTACGGGCTCCTGGCCTTGCTACTAGGAGCAAGAAGCTACAAGAAACAAAGGGCATCGCTACTAGTAACAAGAAGCTATTAGGGGCTCCTGGCATCCCTACTAGGAGCAAGGACACTTTTGGGGGCTCCTGGCCTTACTACTAGGAGCAAGAAGCTTCTAGCCACAAAGTTAAAGGTAAAGGGCATCGCTACTAGTAACAAGAAGCTATTCAGGGCTTCTGGCATCGCTACTAGGTGCAAGGTTGCTACTAAGCTACTAGTAGCTCCTGGCATCACTACTAGCCCGTCTGTGTGTCCTGTCTGGAGATCCCGGATAGTAGTGTAGGATAGTGTAGGGGTAGTCCAGCCAGGACACATGGCCCAGGTATATGTAATAGATGGCATAGATATATATATATATATTATACATGTGTGTATACTCTTTTGGGGGGCTCAATGGGGTGAACCCGCGGCGACTACCATATTTAGACCTCAAGAGACGGGTTCTTCGGCTCGGGGGGTCAGTGCTTCGGTGACACGTCGTAACCTGCCATGAAAACCGTATCATCGAGCGTTTTTCTCGGTCGAAAAGCCGGGTTCCCTGCATTCAAGGGTCCAAGCGATGGGTCCAAGGGTCCAAAACCAGGTATATACGGTAGATGGTGGGTTTTGGATGCAAGGAAGAAGCCTTCAAAGGTTTGGGCATCCGAAGGTTTTCGGAATCACGACCTGTGGGAAAACGGGGACGTTTTCCCACTGAATGGTAGAACAGGTGGAAATCAAATTCACGTCACCGGAGGATCCTTCTTCCCCAAAATCAGACATTGGTCAGCAACCCTTGCACGTCAGCCTCCGCGGATGCGTCAGCGAGACCGAGGAGAGCCCGACGGGCACCGGCAAGACCTTGCGCTGGGCTCAACGAAGCACAAGGTTTGGGGTGAGTTCACCATGGGTCGAAGAGAACTTACGTGCACGTAGTGGGCATTTAGGAAAAGACAAGATTCCCATTCAGGAGTTGCCACATCTCCTACGCGTTAAAACCCCTCAACTCGTGGAGGTGTTGACAGCACGACCGGTTGAGAGGAGTAGATGACTGTGAGAAATCCAGAAACATGAAGAGAGTAGGAACCAAGCCCAAGAAGACTGTATAGATGTTACTTTTATAATTTAAAGCCATTTGTAGCCGTTTGATTCTCACAAAAGGCTGTTGCATATAATATGTACCAAAGAATCATGCGAAATGATTGATGAGACGCGCTAAGGCCGAGAACGCTCGTTGCGACCCCCGACGCCAGTCCACTGGACGGTCACTCAGGTCACTGTTGTGCCCCAGCTTGTCATGGCTTCGTCAGCAAGAGCTGTCGATCATGGCAGGGGGACCAGGAGCTTCGTTCACTCAACAGTTGGGTAGTGCCAGTGACGGGTTGGGTCTGTCCGAACTGACCTGTAACTGTCGGTAGAAAGGCCTAGGCCTTAAAGATCATCATCCACTGTTACTGGTAATGATAGACCCAACATATGGGTTGAAAACCGATGTGACTGAAAGTCTGGCTGATACTGTGCCCAGACCCAATGGATGCCACTTACCAAGAAAGATGCGGTCAAAGAGTGTGATTCGAGGTCTAGTCTTGGTTCATCATGTGTTTCTGCACTGCTGCACCCTGGACTGCATTCACTGGGCAAAGTGACATATCCCAAAATAAAAATCGCAATGTTTGAGTTAGGGAGACCTTGGATCCAAATTCAGAGTCAAGCCGGAGTTACACTCCCGATTTGGTCATCCTTTCGGGCCTAGGGAATGGATGTTGCCCTGAGAATCAAGAACGCTCAAAGGTGAAGGTTTGGTTCGCTTCGGGTCCAACCCCTGCGAAAAGCAGAGTCAATACCCTCCAGAAGTGGTCGGGTCCAGTGGCTGCTTCGGGTGAGTCGCCGCGGCCGTGGGCCCTTTCTTTCACACACCGAGCAACCAAACGTTGTGTGGACCGACACGGGCGAAGCATCCTCGTTTTCTTGCACAGCGGTATCTCGTGAAAGAGGCATCAAAGAAAATGTCCGTGGACGTTCGTGATCTTGTATTTTTCCGATCTGGGCATCATCCCATGGGGGGAGGGGACATATGATGTACTGTGTGTCTTAATTCTTCTCGGTTCCTGGACTGCCAGGTGCATCGATGGATTCCAAAGAATTTTGGGACTTCTCTCTGCCAATTGGCAGGATCTTCTGTAAATCCAGATACCAGGAGACTCGGTGGGTGATGTAGGAAGAACTGAGAATGGCTTTAACAGCGCTTAAGCTCAACAAATGTGTAACATCATGTAGGATATGCCGGGCGCCAAGGCCCCTGAAACCACTGTCAACGCAGCGCCAATCGACCGCTGAGTGTTTTGCCCCACCGCTGCCAGCTGCGACCCCGCCCGCGACGCCGCGAAGCGGGCGCCCGAGGCCTCGAAGCTCGCGCCGGAGGAGGAGATCGGGACTCCGTGGGGCGGGGCCCATCGGGACGGTCCGGACGCGATCAGTTCAGAAACCACTCGGGTTTGGCCAACAACACTGTATTCGTGTGCGGAACCAACGCTGTATTGGTCATGCTCAGTACCTGAAATGCCATCATTCTAGACTCAAATCGGTCCCCAAATAGAATCGCGAACCCTTTGATCAATAACATCAACCTGAAAAAACCACTCAAGTGCAGCTTCTAGATCAGAGCTTCTTTCGTCTTCTCGCTACAGGACGCTGATGGCTGGGCTGAGCCCTTGCGTTGGGGAATCCGGGTCCACGGCGGTGCGCTCGTCGAGTCGGGTCCGCTTCGGGTCGGGTCGGCTGCCTCCGGGTGAGAACCAGCTTTCCCGCTCATCGTTCGACTCACGAGCTTTCTCCATTGGAGGCATGGCATGAAATTGGCTGCTAGTGGTACTTTCAGTCCTCCTACTACTGCCAAACACCTGCTGCTGCTGCTGCTAACTGCTGCTGCTGCTGCTACCTCTTGGGTAAAAGCCAAGCTGACCACGAGCCTTTGCAAAGCCAGCGATGGCACCTCCGGGGGAGCAGTCCACACATACTTCAGGTAGGTATGGGTATGGGTGTTCCGGACAATGCAAAAAGGATCTGAGACTGTGGCACCAAGCAGATTCAACTGTCCTGTTAGTTTGGAGGCCGTCCCTCTCAGGGTGGAGGCCATCGCTATTAGGTTGGGGCCCATTGCTATTAGGTTGGGGACAAGCAGAGTAGACGAAGTTGCCTGGTGCACATGCTGAGGTGCACAGGCCCGCGCCAGTGCGGAGTATGTGTGGAAACGTCCGGAGCTTAGGGTAAGATGTGAGGTTTTTGGAATATTCAGGGGACCGTTTTGCTGTGGATTAAGAGCCCTTTCGAAGGGAGGGCCTCGGAGCCGGGGGAGTCTCCAGTTCTTCCCCTTCTCAACAGGGAGCCAGTGACCGCAGCTAGCCCTTGACACACTCTGACGAACACATCACATGGTTACGTGGATGGCATGGCTTCGAAAGCACTCCTACATCAACACATTCGCCAAGCTTGAAAGGCAAAGACTGATGGGCTTGATGACATGAGCCTGTGGACCTGCGGGCGGGGATAGACCTGATCGTTAGGGATCCAGTCGTACCGCACCTCAGATTCAGTACGACTGGACCCAACTGGCTGGCACCTATTATGCATAATTAACCAGTCTCTCCCTGCATCACCGTCCCGATAGGAGGCTGCCAGTGGATCCCTATATAGATGCTCCGGGTCAGTTGGCTAACCCTCTGGGACGGCCATCACCCATCGAGGCCGTCGCGAACGCCGCGAGTTGCGGCAGAGGAGGGCGCGGCAGTCCATGGTGGCTCCGGTGGCACCGCTCCAGTGGACCCGAAGCGTCGGGGGGTTGGGACCGTGGGGGTCGGAGTGAAGAATCGGTGGTCGAAGAGTGTCAACATGGGATGTGTTTGAGTGGTGATGGGGGGGGGCTTCCGGTATTTCATGAAGTTCGATGCCTTTCGAAGGGTTTAAGGTCTGAAGACTTGCAAATAAGGGCTCCAAGAGGACAACTTGACTGCGATCAGAGAATGTCCAACTGTCAAGATATATACCCAGAAAAATTGGGCCAACTAGGTCGGAGGAAGCTGAAGCCCGCGACGACCTCTTCTGACACAGCGAGGCCTTGACGGCCAGTGGTGCGGCCACTGTCCCGCGCCCCATGAAGCAGCGGCGGACGGCTGACGTGGAGCAGCAGCGGCACCCAGTCAACGGTCTTGATGTTCAGATAGTTCTACAGCTTTACAGATGTATAGCATCTCTAACAAAGCTTGCAGCTAAAGATCAAGTTCAAGTTTCCGAAACGAGCAAGGCTTGCAGGGAGTGTTTGATGGATTGTCATCTTCTCGTGGCAGAATACCATTGAGAAGCTGACTAGCAGCGATTCCGGCAAAGAATTCATCGACTGATCTCTCCAGGGTGGTGATTTCAGAGATTTTGATGTTCAACCGATTCCCTGTGGATCTTTTGATGTTCACGTTGACTCCTCGTTTTCGTTTGGCTTCGACCCGCTTGACTGCACCCCAGTGTCGGGTCGGACACTCCTTCGTTTCAGTCTGAGTGTCCCAGGTCTTCCAGGGATGAGGCTGAGGAAGGGGACTTGTCCTTGGAGGCCTGACTCGTGCGGGCCCATCCGAGGCCATTTGGAGAACTCGATCAAGAAGGGTTGCTGGTACTTTCTTTTAACACTTTGGTCGACCTAGATATCTATAGAAATTTATCGAATTGGAATATATTGAAATCATGTTGGAATAGAATGGCCGAACCCTGGTGCCACCGACCCCCTGCCTTCGCCTCTCTTCAGCTAAGCGCAAGTGCCTTTATCACCTTGAATTGCTGATCTCGTGGCCGGCGCAGCGCTTTGTGAACCTCGAAGTGCAGATTTCGTGTCCGGC